CCATCCCTAAACAGAACAGGGGTTTTACCCTTGCTCATCTGAAAATAATCTGACAGTTTTAACCTGATCATTTAATTAAGAGTTTGTTTTTACAATGCCAACGACAGTGGCCCTCTTAGGGTCACTACAATCGCCCCCACTGCTGTTGTACTCTGTAGGTTTTTGTTGAGATCAGACCTTTGTTAGGCATTGTGCTGAGCCCAGAAAACTCATGTCTCCGGTCACCTCAGAGTATTTACGTGCTTAACACTCATTGAGGTCAGGGGGAGTTAGACATCTAAATGTTTTTAAAGACCTAGGCCCTAGTACACATTTAAACCCAGCTGTTCAGAGAGGAAAGCTAGGACTGCTTTAGATTGCCAAATTTTCCTTTGCAGAATGGTTTCTGTTTATTCAGTTTGATGCTGAAATAAAGCATAGCAAGGTGTTAGCCTCAGCTCTGCAACTGACTCCATGTGCTTCTTTGATGCAAGTCACTGTACTTGTGCCTCAGTTTCCCAGTTGTAAAAAACAGATAGGGGTTGGCTAATACTTCCCCACCCTTTCCAACAACTTGAGAGGGGAGCAAGAGCTACGTCTAATCTTTATATAACAAACCGTAACCGTTAAGAGTAGAAACAAACATTCTCTTCTCCTTCGCCTAGTATACCAAACCTCGTCCTCTACATCCTGATCCCATCCGTCCTGCTGGTTCTCCTTTTGATTTTGTTCATTGCTGTAAAGTTTAGAAGAGCATCACAGAGGAGGAGCAAAGGTAAAAATTCTCTGATCAGTTTTGCTAGTAAGTGTCATTTCATTCTCCAGATGGTGCAGCCCAATTATATTGCTTCATTCCTAAGGACCCTACTGTCCCTGTCACCAAAATAACAGGACAAGACAGACACTCTCTAAATGCACCGCATGTACTTAGTCAGTTACTCCATGCAGCAGGTCACATGGCCATACAAACTGGTAGAACCCCACAGCATGCCCAACCCCAGTGATGGAGCAGGTACTTGGCTCAGGCTAGATATAGCAGCTGGCTAGTTAAAAGCAAACAAGCCAGTTGTTTTTGACCAAGTAGAAATCAGTTGTTTAAATAAGATTCATTAACACTCAGCAAAAGAAACAGAGAAATAAATTCCCCTTGATTACCTGATTTCATCA